ACACACGAATCCTTCTGTCCACCCTTCAACGATCTTTATTCATAAACAGCTCCTGGAGGTACTTCGCCAGCAGTCACAGATCTTCAATGTGCTGCACATCCGTCTAGTGACTAAAATGTCTAACAAATATCAACGACCCTGTGCTTGAGTAGCTGGAGCAAATAACAGTCAGCGTACAGATCAGCGTAGAGTGCTACAGGTGTTCACACCGGAGACGTTCACGGGCAATTTGTGCATTCATTGGTTAACCTAGACAGTCACCTAGGTGTTTGGGGATTAAATATGCACAGATCGAAGAATAACGATTTCAATTACGGACGGAAGGTATTCGTCAGCAGTAGATGCCCATCGTGAACATCTTGCCAGTTCCAGAGTTGAAAGAATAGTCGAGCTGAGAGTGGCGTCGAGTAGCGCATTCACATAAGAAGAGGTGAGAGCACTCATACTGGTCTTTTCCCCTTTTATAATTCTGGTGCGTCACGGCATAGTCGATAGTCCAGCGGGGGAATCTAACAATCCCAATCCCCAATCGCTGCTTCTAAGCGACTCCTTCAGGATTGCATATCACGGCCCATCACCTAACAATTAGAGAGGAATCTCAGTCAGTGGAATCACACCGGAATTTTGCGATTTATGAAGCATCGTTGAGTATGATTGTCGGCACGCAATGAATCCGAATTCTTGGACTAGCAGCGCGGTTTGCAGTACATTCTTGATCATACCACTATCCATTCAGCCAGGTATATCCGCATTTTCGAAAACGAACATGCTCACCTTCGGGGTCAATATTTAGTCCTGTTGCGAAGCGCTCAGTGGCAAATATTACAGGCAACATGACCCTACAAATATACAAGGTATTCTGGAACAGCCATTTCGGGCTTAATAACCATTATCAACCAGCCGTATATAGCCACTTGAATTCGTCGCGATAACGTGTATTACGCATTGCAGAGACACCTGTACCGATGGATGGTGCTTGATGGTGCTGTCTTGATGGTGCTGTCCATATCCTCGGCTCTGTTAAGTCTTTTAGGAATCGTGACACCATGCCCCTCAACGAAAGTCGACAAAAAGCACGCACCAGAGGTGAAGAACAGTGAAACACTGATTGGGTTCCCGACGCAAGTTCAGTAATTAATTCTTCAAATTAAAAGTTTCATCTCCTACACCTACTACTACGATAGAATCGGCAAGAAACAGCAATCCTAAAACGTTCGACAATAGTAAGAAGCAGTTGCACAACAGTCGGATTCTGATTACGACACAAACCCTAACCACCATCTGCACAGATCGGTTAACATACGTCAGCCATCCTATCTAACTCCCGCCCCGGCAG